TAGTGTAGGTGATTGTAGTAACTCAAGACATAAATGAGGGTGAATTTGCCATTGTACTTTTCTCCTTGTTAGTAATTCCAGCTTTACACCTCTATTCCATATACCCAACCTGCTAATATTTGCACCACAGACTTATTAGTCTGGTCAAATTGCAAACTGGATTCAAATATTATGGTCACAAGTGGACTGTTTGCTCCCTCTTCTGCGTTCCTATTGCTCTACATACTAGTCTCTATTTGATTATGTATATTTTCATTTTAAAACATATATCAGTTTCTTATACCTATTAAAACATAAACAATCAGAAATAGGACCAAAATGCCTATCTAGGGTAAATGCTCAATAAATATGAAAAGCAAAGGAAGAGAGGAAGAAAGGAAAATAGCTTAGAACTGCAGGAGGCCACAAAGATAATTAAGTTTAACCACACTTCACAAAAAAGAAAATACACCAATAAGGAATTGAGCCAAAGCCATATACCTAGTGAGAAGCTGTTTTGGACATTTATAAATTTGGGGCACCAGCTAGCCACTGCCCCATTCATTTGGTAAGAGCACTCTGACTTTAGACCTTTGCCCATCCAGAACTTTGGTTTGAACTCTGAGGGGAAGAAGAGATTTTCTATCTGCCAGCCTTGAGCCTGGGAGGATTTAGGACAGAAGCTGCTGGCAGCCACTGTCCCACCATTTGGAACCAACACAAAAGAGACAAAAGCTTGAAAGGTGAGGGGAGATTCAGTATAGTGATGCTTCGTAAATCTTTGAGTCAAGAGAAATCCACATAACAAATATGTTTCCTTTTTCCTTTTTAATTATTCTTGTTTATTCCATTACAGTTGTCCCAACTTTTCTCCCTTTGCCCTTCTCCTCCCAGCCCAACCTCTGCTCCTATATTCAATCCCCGCACCATTGTCCATGTCCATGGGCCATTCATACATGTTTTTTGACTAATCCCTTCCTCTTCTTTCCACCATTCCTTCACCCCTCTCTGATAGCTGTCAGTCTGTTCCATGTTTCCATGTCTCTAGTTCTGTTTTTCTCATTCATTTATTTTGTTCATTAGATTCCTCTTATAAGTGAGATCATGTGGTATTTGTCTTTTACCACCTGGCTTATTTCACTTAGCATAATGCTCTCCAACTCCATCCATGCTGTCACAAAAGGTAGGAGATCCTTCTTTTTTCCTGCAGCATAGTATTCCTATGTTTCTTTTTTTTATTTAGGTTTGACTTGGGCTTTCTGACTTGGCCCTAACCAAATCATGCATTTCTTCAATGAAAGTATGGATATTCTAAATTTAAACCTGTGTTCTTTTCACTACCTTGGTCCTGTATGACACTGTCCCTAATATTGCTTCTTTTTTCTTTACCAAAGGACAGGTGTTCTCTAGAAATTCTACCCTGAGGCCTCCAGCTTTTAAAGACAACCTAGTTATCTTTGAATGGACCAGAATCTGGTGACTGGGAAGATTACCTCACCCATCCCTACAAGTCTGGATCCCTATTTACCAATCCCTCAAAAATGCTTGCTATTAAAGGTCCAATGTTCCCAGGGACTTTAATCTCATTCCAGATGTATTCCAGCTTGTATTTATTCAGAGTTTTGAAAACCAGATCCCTAGGGAGCCCCGAGTCTTGTTGTATAGATATGTGTGGCCTTATCAATGCAGAGGCAGAAATTCTATGCATTCAGACAGCCCTGAGTCAGAGGTGATACCTACGCAATTATTGAAATTGATTTCCTCAGGTTGTTGAGGTGACTTTTGTGACCTTCTGATGTTAGCAGAAAGAGCCATATCGGCTCAGTAACTAATCTAGTGCCTGTATGTACACATAGCTCCCACTTCCACCTTCCCTAGCAAGGTTGATAACAGCCCAACTAAGCCAGAGGGAAATCCAAAAACCAGAAATCAGCACTACATTCTAACCTATAGTTAGTATTGCAAAAATAAAATACAGTTAAGTCTGCTAAAGTTTCCTGCTGGTCTGGGAGAAACTTGCAACCACAGAAGAGATGTGAGAATCAAGTTACATCATGGCAGCTTAAGAGTCAAAAATATTTTACACTATAAGATGTATGTATAAGAATATTCATTACAACATTGTATTGGTAAATGAAGCCAAAGAGCCTAAATTCCCATCAGTGGGCAGCTGGTTAAGTAAATTATGATACATGCCTCAGTGGACTTCTGTAAAGCATTAAAGTGAAGAAGATTGGTCTCAATGTCCTGATATGAAATTACCTCCAGGACATGTTTTTAAGTGAGAAAAAGCAAAGCATAAGAGAGTGTGTGTAGAATGCAATTACTTATTTTACTGTAATGGAGAGAGAGCCCTCTGACTGGGCATACCTGTGCCCACGTGGGCACACACACACACTTCCACTTTGCTATGCAGAGAGTATCTCTGGAAGGAACCACAGGAAACTGGCCTCAGAGGTGGCCACAGGGAAGGAGGCTGGAGTGCTGGTGGGCCATGTTGAAAGGGAGACTAACTTTTCAGTCTATTTCCTTTTGTGCCACTTGAGTTTGTGCTACCATCTCTCCACATTGCCAATTAAAAATAAAAATAAAGAATAGTCCAAAGTCTGCCTTTGATTTAGAGCTTAAAAATGAAAACATTAAGATTTTACATTCCTTTTTTCCTATAAGGCAAAAGCAGGTCCCTTCTATCTTTGTTACTTGCTTTTGAACAAATAGACTCTAGTATTTTTAGACTTTCTCCCTGGAGCCCAGAGCTCACAGTATTGATGTAACCAGGGAAATATTGAGGAGCTGGATACCAAGTTCTGTGTCCTAAATATTTTTCAGTCATGAAGAAACCAGATTCCCTCCTAATACTGTTGTTCATACCAGTAGAAGCACACACTGAGGTAATAATTTCTTCTTCTCTGCTAGATTAAAGAAAGTGTTTAATCTTTTTTCTCTTTCTCTCAGAGAAGTTTTTGTTGTTCTTCTCCTCAAAGTGAACAGACATCTGAAAACAACTGGTGAATTTCTGCTAGAAGAAGCAAGAAGCTATTAAGAGCGGTACTTGAGGCCACTGTGAAAGTCCATTACCCCAGAAGCAGATTAAGGCAAGTTTGCAGAAATGCGTTGCCCCAGCATTATCATTCTCACCTGAAAGACTGTGGCTCCCATTTAGCAGGAGACAGATGTTCTTATTTCATTTCACTGACAAACTAAAATGAAATAAATAAAAAGTCCACCTCCTCAGAGTTTGCTTTGCTGTTTAAATTTTGAATCACATACTTTGGATGGTGTTATTTTTCCCCCATCCTTCCCTCTGACCACTTTCTCTGAGGTTCTCAATGGCACCTGCCTGGGACTGTGCCTCTTAACTATCTAGCTTGAATTCAGTCCCAGACACTGTGGAAATTGTTCAGAACAATGGAGTCAAAGACTAAGCATAAACTGTGGTGGCTTGTGAAACAATTTGCATAAAGTCCAGATATTCATCCCACAGAGGTTCCTTAAGCACAGAACTTAACTAGTGTCAGTGCCAAACAGACTCTAACTGTAACAAAATTATCTGAGTAGAAACTTATTTGTGATGCTCTTCTCTACTTCCTCTTCTCTTTTTACTCTCTCATCCTCTAGAACTGCTGTGCTCCAAAGGGCAACAGATCAAGTTGAACTGTGCCCAGGTTAATGCTTAAAAGTAGGCTTAGAGAGAGTAAATATAGTTCAAGTCAAACCTTGCCTAGTTCCCAAAAGATGTACAGTTCTCAGGAAGTTCATTTCCAATAGTAGTATCAGAGATTTCTTCCATTTAATAGATGGTAAGAAAACCATGGATCAGGACTGAAAGGTATATTTGTCAAGCTTAATAAGAAGGCTATAAGAGGACAGTTCCCTGCAGACTCTATCCCGTCCACACTACCCCTCAGGTAGTAGATGTGAGAAAGGACATCCTGTCATATACAATAGGATTTGAGATCAAGAGAGTGGTTAAGACTTCCTTGTCCTGAGATCAGTGGTTCTCAAGTCTGGCTGCACATCTGTCTCCTAAGCCTGACACTTTCCCCCAGAAGTTCTGATTGACCTGTGTTGAGGGTGGCCAGGGGAACTGTATCTCTATAGGGTTCTGCTGTGTAGCCTGAGCTGAGCACTGCAGGTGTGGCTAACTGAGGACACTTGGCCATTGAGAACAGCTTGAAGTCACTTCCCTGGCTAAAGGAACTTACCAGACAAACCTGGTAATTTATCAGCCTCTGCACTGCATACCACTTCCCTAAGCTCAATGCACACTTTCATCACAGTCTTACAGAGTAGGCAAGGCAGGATATTTATTTCCATTTTACAGATGAAGAAACAGAAGGTTCAAGAGAAATGCTTGAAGCTACACACTAAGTCTGAGTCAGATCTGAAACTCCAGACAAGGCCACAACGTTTCTCACTACAGCATTGCAGCTCCCTCCAGCCTTCAGATCCCAGATGAGCAGCCGTGGTGCTGGCAATCATTCTGCTTCCAAGAAGCAAAAGAAAAAGCGTGAAACCCAGTCTATAGCTGAAAAGTATAACCCCTTAATTTTATAGATAAGGAATTTTAAGCACAGTGACTTGCCCAAGGTTACACAGCCAGTTAAGGGCAAGCAAAATAAACAACAGTGGGGTTCAAATTATTAAAGACAAAAAGCAAAGCACGATGTAGGGAAACTGTACATCCCCTGCTTGGAGTTTCAGTGGAACTTGAAGTAATTGCCGCACAGAGAGCTGCTGTGTATTTGGAAGGCTGCCCACTGCACTGAGAAATGGAACATAGCAAGGGGTAGCCACACAAATCACTGAGGTCACCTTGCATGGTCTTTATGAGTGTGCCAGCCAGTTCGTGTCGTGTGTGTGTGTGTGTGTGTGTGTGTGTGTGTGGGGGCGGGGTGGTTAATTGCCAAAAGGAATGCTCAAGCAAGCAGGAGCCTGCATACATTTGGCAAAGCTAAAGAACAACAAAAAAATCTCCCTGGAAAGTGTTAGCATAATTATATAGCCAGTCTGTTTCTTACCTGGAGGTAAATGCAGGCTCCACCATTTCTGTCAGTTGTGATGATCATTCATGATACAGAAGTGTGCAGAGGAGAGGTCCCCCCTCTCTTATCCTAATTTCTCTCACCCTCTAGTGTAGCTAGAGATAAACCCAATTCCTGTGAAACCGAAACAAACTTCAAACCCATGTCAGAGCCTGCCAGAGAGAATGATTTACAAACTGCCAGCAGAACATTGGTGTAAACAAGATAATGCACATTAATTCCCAGCAAGTCAATTAGCATTCAGTTATTCTGAACAGGGCCTGACCTTGATGCCTGAGGATGTGAACAGAATGCAACCTGTAGCTTAAAGGAAAATGCCACCCCTTCCACTCAGAAATGCAGGTCTCCAAGGTTCAAAGGCTCAGGGAGCACTCTTCCTCATGAAGACACACACAGAGGACAAAAACCATCTCAACAAAATTCTTGCATTTCAGAACTGATGTCTTTTTGCCTTTGAGCTCACAAACACTTTGATGACTCTCACCTTTGATCTAAATTTCTCAGGGTGCTGTGGTACACTGTGTTTCAGAGGCATCTTTCACTTCAAGACTTCTGAGGGTTCAAGAGTCTCAAAATGAAGACTTGCTCATCTTTCTTCAAATAGTTCTTTAATTGTTCATTCAAAGAAGAGATTTTATTTGTAATTGCCATGCTTATTATCATTACCTCTGCTTTCTGGGGATACTTTTGCTTGATTTTTGAACAGTGATCAACCCGCGTCTCCTGCAATGCTTTATGGCACCAGTATGGTGAGTCAGGCGCCTTGAGAAGGTATCTGAGCCCACTGAGCAGAACTTTCATACTTTAATTTGCATATGAGTCTCCCAGGACCTTTTAAAGGGAGATTCTGATTTAGTTAGGCCTGGAATGCAATCTGAGATGCTGTATGTCATAAACTACCACGCGAACTGATACTGCAGGTCCAAGGACCACACTGTGTGGTACCACCCAGACTACTTGTCAGAGGAGCTTTTTCCATGGAACAAGGAGTTCTTTAAAAGGGGTTACTTCAGTGATTTCGGGATTCTGCTATTTGTAACAGGAGGTGTCTAAACACCATTTAGATAAGGGTCTCAAAGTGGTCTGATGCAGACACCCTAGATATACAGGTTTAGAGGAACTCCTCCAACACAAACCCTTTTGTGTTCAGAAACCCCCTTTTGAGAGAGTTGTTATGAGTTTTATTGTTTGTTCACTTGTTTGTTTTGCAGGGTTCATAGTTGTCCACACTACGTTAATTTGATGGGGATGATGCAAATTCCTATAGCATTAATGGCCCTTGGTTCTATTGGACCATCAATTGATAAAGAAAATTCTGATATAAACAGCAGACTTGATAATATTCCTTCTCCCAGATATCACAAGATCAATTGGCTGGGTCCTGGGTTTGGGCAAAAATAAATTCATTAGGCACAGCAATTGGCAGCTGGGGATAAATCTGATTGGAGTCCCTCTCTGGTGTATTCAGCAGGCACTGTCCAGGCAGCACTCTACCTCATCCCCAGCCTCTCCTTCTCCAAAACACACCCACACCCACACCCACACCCCCACACACCCACACACACACACACACACACTTCCTGGCCAGTTTCCCTGGAATCATTTGCAAGGCTTTGTACTCTCATGTGTCCAGACCATCTCTCCCTATAACTTTTCAGGTTTCCGAGCCATTAACAATATAGCAATAAATAGTAATAATAACAATAATAATTATTATTGTTTAAATTATCATTACAACCCTTTGAGATAGGTACAATTATTATTCCCATTTTATGGATGAGGACTCTAAGGTATAGAGAGGATAAGCAATTTGCCCAAAGTCACACACCTAGAAAAGAGAGATACACACACAGATAGGCTGGCCTCAGAGTCCATTCTTAACTACTATGCAATACTTGTCCATACCCTTTGCAGAGAGAGAGAGAGAGAGAGAGAGAGAGAGAGAGAGAGAAGGCATTATTGTCCTCTTTATCTTTTACAATGGATGGCTCATTAAAACCAGAGCCAAAATAATTAGCAACCAAATAAATTTGTTTCCTTTCCAAGAGAGTGTTTTGAAACACTCCCCTGAGGTGAGGGAAAATACTTGCATTCTGTCCCTGTTGGTGGGGGTGTGACTGAAGTTCACTCCCTTAGAATGGGTTGGACCCTGCCAAGGAGGCAAGTAAGAAGAAAAATGAAAGAGTTGTTTCCACAGTAAAATATGTTGACTCTTCTTACTCCCTTACATTTGAATAAGTTCTATCCTCAATTTCAACATTCAGGTCACACTGCCTTTGTGAGGCTTCCTTCATTACACCAACCTGTCTTTTCTCATTTCTTTAACAACTGTGGCCAATATTATTAGGATCTATCTGCATGCCATCTGAGTATGAGCATCACAACTTTCCTTGGTCTCGCATATATTACTCTGGTCTTTTCAACTTGATTCTAAGCCTTTTAGTTTAAACACTTTCTCTTAGAATACTGTATAATAATATCAGTTTTTACATATATTGGGTAATGGATATATCCATGATTTAATGGGCAAACACTGCCACTGTCCTTCTTTAACTCAGGGAATGTAGCAATGTGTGACTAGCTTAGATGGTTAATGCATCAATTTAGCTGTGCCTGCACAGGCTGGGTCCCAGGCTCTCCTCTATGCAGCCTAGATAGCTGCACAATGACAGCTACGTATGATACCTGGGAGCCCAGGTAACCATCTCATACCAATGCATAATGGTCACAAGAATGCTCGACAGGTGATATAGGCTAGACCAGAGAAAATTTAGAAATTAGTACTAAGAAAACAAGCTAAGAGTTTAGGCTCCATGGATAAAGGCTCATAAGGGTCACCATTGTACATGAATGGCAACATTTATTTTTACTATTTTGATTTAGGCACTGAGGACTCCTTCCCCATTAAGTCAGCTGAGGTCCAATGGGAAAAATCCCAGGAAAGGCTTTGCTAAATCCTTATTCTCTAGGTCAGTTATTCACTCATGTGTCTCTGGGTTTCATGAAGGACCAGGTGTTTAAAAGACAAAGTTAATTTTGAGCATTCATATGATGATCCCAGCTGAAAAGATACTGGGAAAGATCATTATATACAATACCCATGTTTAGACAGCCTAGGAAAAGTAAGATCCAGGGTAATATTTAGAATATGATTGGTGAGACTAACTTAATTTTCTTTGACAGAATGACATACACTGAAAGCCAACAGAGATAATATATCTTGATTTTACTAAGACTTTGATGCCATCTTCTGTGGCATACTATCAATGAACTGGGGAGATGTGGCCTGAATGGCACACAATCATGGGTGGAGCAAACAGACAACCTGAAGGCAACTCAAGGTTGTAATCAGTAGGTCCGTATCAGCCTGGGAGTTACTCTAAGTAATGAAAGTGTAGTGGAAACACATTATTGGATACAACATTTAGTCATCTACCTAAATGTTGACATAAGAATATTATTTTGTTTTCCTATACACAGAGTCAGGGGAGCAAACTTACCCATTTCAAGAAAGATGCTTTCCCCCAAAACTCACAAGAGCTCCTCTGGAGAGATTTAAAATGAAATAAATTTTTGTCAGTTGAAAAGAGGTAGTTATGTGAGGCTTAAAATGAAAGTGAGTTGATAGATTAGCTACTTCTTTCCATTTTAACACTTTAACTTCCAAGTTTTTTTTTTTTTTTAGAAACACCAATGACAATCCACTACCATTTTAATACTGTCTAAACTCTGGTGTTTATATACAGACCAGGCTAAGAAGTGGGCTATGCAGCAGGCCATACATCTCCCCAGGACAGGAGAATACCAGTGTGACACTTAGGCTTCCAAAAGACTACAAGTAACCCCATTGTCACTGTGGAAATGCCACCTGCTTAGAAGGGAGTCTGAGTCATTAAAATCAACAGCCTCTGGACTCTGTGGTCTTTGGGGAAAACTGAAATTGGTAAATTCTCCTCTCTGACCTCTGCCTTCCACTTCCGTGTCTTTTTCCCCTCTATACTCGTGGGCCTCACCACATCGCTAAGAGATCATCAGGTCATCAGTCTGGTTCTGGCTTTAACTTGAATCCCTTTCCAGCTTAATCCCTAAAGTTCACTTTTGTTAATACTAAGCTCAGTGCAGTGCCAGAAGCCCCTGCTTCTCCTTCACTGGGTTGTGGTAAAAGATTGAAGTTCATTTATGTGGAAGAAAGTGAAAAATGTTAAAGCATTTTATAGACATGTTTTTATTTTTCCTATTGTGTCTGGCACCCATGACAGTACCTGGCATATGGTAGGTACACATTAAACATGTGTTGAATGAACAAATAAACAAATGAAACTACATTCCATCTTACACATCAAAATCAAGTCAAATCTGCCTAAAGTTCAGTCTTTAAAAAAAAAAGTTGACTTCAATTAAGTGCTTTGTTTAAAAGAAGTACTATGTGAAGACTCTTCAATGGATTATTTAATGTAATCATCAAAACAACACTCCACAGTAAGAAATTTAGTATCACTACTTTACATACAAAGAATCTGAGGCAGAATCGAAGCCCAAGGGCACCTTACTGGTTAGTGGCAAAGCCAGGCCTGAAATCCAAGCAGTCTGACTGTGCAGCTGGCGCTCAACTATAATGTTCATCAATTGCAGGTAACCTTTTTAAATAAATAGTTTGATGATATTTAGACTGAATATAAATATAACTTGCCCATTTTATCAATAAAAAGTAGTTCATTCTTCTAGGATTCAAGATGATGAAGTAAAGAGTGGAAGTATTATTATCCCTAAAGCACAAAACCAAATCTCACTTATAAAGGGATTTATGACTTCTTTTTTCTACTGGAAAGGAGTTTAACTTATGAAAATTTGATTTTGGTTGATTAAAAATGTCACTGCCAAAAGATGTTTAAATAAGTATTTCTTTGGGAAAAAATAAAACAAAAGTGATTTACTGAATAAATATAAAATGGATTTTACATCCCCCACTGTTGATCTTAGGGCCAGATTAGTTTTCAAAGGTGCCATAGTGAGAGCAACGTTTATAATGCCCTCACTAGGTCTTTCATACCTAAAGAAGTTTGAAAATGAGAATGCACTGCACTT